ATCGTAAATCATATCCTCTATAATCGAAAAACTATCCTTTTAAGGCTAGAGCTCCTTAAGCTTCTAATTTGAGATTTTAGGAAATTTTAGAATGGTGGTATAAGTGAGAGCTAAGAATAGTGACAAGAAAAACCACTTTCTTGAAGAACATTCTATTAAATAGTTGAGGGGTTATTTTTATAAAAACTATTTGAAGATAACATTTCTACAAGATATTAATGGAAATAACGAAATTTATGTTAGAATACAAAAATTTCCTTTTTGTTATAACAAGCTGCTCTATCTCTTTTACTGATGTGCCATAACATTAAAACTTTTTAAGAGAAAATAATACATATATGCAATATCAATAAATATAGTTGATTCTAAAAATTTATTTTCTAATAGGGTTAAACTCAAAGTTATAGAGTGTTATTTTTTTAACATTATCCATTATAGTTATTAGAGATAATCATCTCTCAAATATAACGCTACTTCAGAATTTAATTTACTATAATCATCTATTTAAATACTTATCTTATATATTCCAGACTTACCTTAATCTTCTAGTTCCTTTCCTTATTATTATTTTAATTCGACATTAGACTAATTTTCTTATAAAATGGATTAAGTAACAGATAAAAATTATTATTCTTACTTTAATTTTTAGTCATGATTTTTCTTTGGTTATTTATTCAAGCTTCTGATTTTATTGTTCAAATTATGAATTTGTGGCAATCTTTTCATCATTTATTTGTTTTAATACTTCCTATTATTATTATTCTTATTTTGTATTTTACTCAATATTGTTTTGTTAAATTTGATTGGTCAACTAATCTATTTTTTCGTGGACCACTTTGTATTTTGAATCCATGCTATTTTCTAATGATTAGAGATTATCTTAAAGCATCGTAGAATTTTTCATTTGATAAATGTCCTGCTAAGCTTCATCAATTTATTTATTTAATTCATCATATTTTGTTGTTAACTAATACAATTTTTATTCACTTGAATTAGATAACTATTTTAAATTTTCCTTTAATTGGTTACCCATAACAATTTCTTGATTAATTTATTGTGATAAATCTTATTATTGTTATTCTTACTTAGAAACTTTTTGATTCAGTTCTGATATTTAAGAGGTTGTTACTTCCTCTAAACAAGAAATTTTTTATTATATTTCTTTGAAAACTAACTTTTCATCTTCAATCTGTAGATGCAATTCATCTTTTTATTTTTTAATTATTTTTAATTATTCATCGTTTTCTTCTGCCTTAATCAATTTTTTCATTTTTTCTGAATTTATTTCAAATTATTTATATTGTTATTAAAGTTGAGAAAGTTAAGCACCCTCATTTTTATTGTCATCTAAGACAATTAATTAATCAAGCTATCCTTGCTATTATAAACTATATGCATCTTTCTATATTTCCATTTATAGATCAACTGATTCATTAAATATAGATAAATATTAACCTTATAATTAACATTTTGATATGAATTCTTGTACTTCAGAACTTTGCTTATTCACAAATGAACTAGTTCTTTCTGAATATTCTATATCTAATATTAAATTATGTTAAAAGTACCTTATTATTACATTATTTTAATCAATTATTATTTACAAAGAAGATCGTGTTTTATAAGACAATCCAATTTTTATTTGATACTCTAATAAAACAAATAGTCAAGCCTCTCCTATTTTTCTTACTTTTCTAGAATATGCTTATTTTTATCTTTTTAACTCAATAAATCAACTATTTTTTCAATTTATTTATCATCAAATTCAAAGATTTATTTATTTTCTAAGTTGATAAAATCTTAAACATTTTGAGTATTTTGTAGCAATTATTCATTAATAGATGTAAGCACTTCTGATAATTAATTATTATAATAATCCCAAAGTGACTTAATTTCTTTCATAGTTATATTAAATATTTTTCCTTTTAGAGTTATATTTAGAAATCAAATCATCTTATTATTATGTAAACTCATTCCACCTTTTATTCGCCTTTTTCAAACTAATATATTGTATAGGACAATCTTCGATACATTCCACACATGCTAAACGACTAAACTCAGGCTTATTAACATCCAGGTTTAGCATAATTATTTCTTTGTTATGTTTGGTGCATAATTAATTCAGACAAGGGGTTTTCTAATAATATATCATAAACTTACATGCTTCTCGAATTCTTTTGAAGGCAACTTATTTACGTTCAATTATTAGATTTTTGGAGTTGTGATTTTTATTTTATCTATGGATTCCATAATCTCCTTAAAATGTTATGATTTTGATTAAGACAATAGCGATTCTTGTACCAACTACACAAGGGCCATATCTGTTTCCTATAAACTCTGTTCTATTGGTATCGTGAAACTATGATCTCCATTATAATATTTTGATAGAATTAGCTAGTCCTCTTCCAAATTTTTAATTTCTTATTTTGTTTCTTTTGATTCTATTTCAATTTAAATCTATTCTATTTATAGATCTATTAATTGAAGTAATTTATTAAGGTCAGTTTTGATGTAATCCTTGAATGACTTAATAGAAGATTATAATTATTTTATATTTATAAGTCTAAGACAATTTTCTTCTTTATTGAGTTTTGAAGCTTAATTCTTCATACTATAAATCATCTCAACTGTTTCATTTAGCAAAGTCAAATTCTCTTTATCTATTTTTTCAGCCATGCATCTTGAGCATAAATATTTGTCTTATATTCTTGTTTATGATTTCAAATCAAAAGCTATTATATCCAATTTGTGGACTTAGCAAATTTTTTTTTCAAATTCTTAGGTTTGCATAATGTATTGTTTTTATTTAATTATCAAATATCCAAAAAATTATCTCAGTTTTATACATTAAAATTTCTTGTATAATTACTAATAGAATTTGAATATTTAGATTTAAATCTGATTCGCATCCTAGATGCCTAATTTTTATTTAATAAATAAAATAATATTAATAAGTAATTAAAAGATAATTAGCAGCAATACGGCATGGATATGAATTTATAATCTTCTAAATGAAAAATAAAAGATTACTTTCGAAATGATCATTATGAAGTGTTAGCCGAAACATCATTTCTATTATTTTCTATTTTGATAAATACCTCATCAAAAATTATAAAAAATCTAAATGATTTATTACTTTAAAGGCTATTAATGGATAATTTTAAAGTCATTAAGAATACAGACCTCAGTATTTTATTTCTTAAATGATGTTGAATTATAATGGAAAGCTAAGGCCATACACTTTTAGAATAAAATCAAGAAAAAAAACGAATCAATTCTCAAATCGAAATTTCAATAAATAATAATTGGATTAAGTTAAAATACTAAAATAAAATAATTTTATTTCTTAGAAGTCAGATATTTCATATTATTCTATTTCTACTAAGCTTCTCAAACTTAAATTTGATAACTTTGTCTTAGGTTTAATTTATAAATCAAGTCGTTAATATTACTTGAATATTCAATAAAAATGATTCTTTAGAATTCGAATACTCTAAATATAAATATATAGGTCAAGCCCTAATTTACAGATAAAGAGTAAAAATATAATTCTGATAGCATTAATATTAATGATAAATAAACCTAACGTTGTTTGATTTGATTTAATAGAACTAAATTTGAATTAAATTTCTAGTTTAAATTATTATATTATAATAAATATATCTGCAGTCTTGAAATCTCCACCTGTTATTTTATTGAAAATTCATGTTATCTCAAAGTTTATTAAATGCAGAACGTCATTCAAAATCAAGTCTCTCCAATAAAATGATAAATTTTCAAATTCCTCTCTGGAAATATATTTCAACCCTTCAAAATACCCTAATTTTGACAGCAAAATTTAAAACCTCAATCTTCCATATCATTTCTATTCATTCAATTCTCTTAGTATTCCAGATACTATTGTGGATGGTTGTTATCCTTGATTTTGACATTACAATCTTATATCCTTTTCAAGAAACACTATTAATTCATCAATTCTGTCATTATAGAATTAATGAGTAAGATATTTGAATTTCCAAATTAAATATTTATTAGGGTCAAAAATTTCTTAATAGTTTGACTTTGGTTCAAAATTACCCAATTGTTTAAGAGGGAGAAATATATACTTCACAATTATTGGATGAATCTTAAGGGTAGAATTTTCCAAAAAACTTAATGAAGATCATTTCCAGCTCATATCCTCCCTAATTTTCTATATCTGTTTATCATTCATTCTTATTTATCTGTATCTCTAAATTCTTAATACCTCTAAATCTATTAAATTCTAAAGAGTTAATTCAATGGTAATTGATAAAATGTCACGTTTTTTTGATTTTTTTATGATTTTGCCTTGATCTTTGGCCACATCATTACACCTCCCAAAATCTCCCTAGCATTAATTGTCCTCACATTTATTACTTCTCCTTTTGGATGGTCTTCATAAATTAATTCATTCATAATCACATTCTTGTAAGGGTTAACAAGGATCTCTATTCCATTCTTGAACCTAAATCCTTCTCTTTTTATTGAGTCAAAAACTTTAAATACGTCCATTTCTCAAATTTCCCAGTCAGCTCTATATTTTTAACTCAGTTTGCATTTCTCAATTTGTTCAGTCAAAAGAGAATCAACTTCATTGAGTCATCAGAAGGTTTTGTTTTACTTTGCTATAAAGCAAATATCAGGATCAAACATTCCTAATTGTCTACTTTTGAATTATTTGGGGTTTAATTATTTTTGCTGTTGATACTTAAAATTGTATAAAAAGTAAAGAGCTCTTCTGGGTTAATATTTGTTTTAATGAAATGGTAATTAGTCTAATAGACATCAAGATAAATACTTAGTTGATGAAATTCATTATTTTATGAAAGGATGACTATAATATAATAATAATAAGAGATTACATCTAGATATTTCTCTATTTCTTATATCTAATTTTTATTTCTATATTTATTACTTAATCACTTTACATTCTTTCTAATTCTATCAAATTTTATTAAATAAATATTCCTTTTATCAATTCTAAAAATAAATATATATAAATTAATCACTACAATCTGTGAGTTAAGAAGTAGCTAAATACATATAACCCAAATAAGTTAATAATTTAAAATTTTAGCAGATTTAAAAAATAAACTAAATTCATCCTTAAATATAAGCAATTGTGTTTTGTAATCAGAATAAATCTTTTGTAAATGTATACCAAGAATGCATTCTTCGATCTTTATTTTGTAGATCTTTGTTTCATCTTGGCTTGGTTTTAAAAGCTTGTGTTATTTTCACTATTAAAACGAAAAACCTTAGTAATAATTAAAATATTGTAATTTTATAAAATTGATTAGAATTGATAGATATACTGTTTAAATATGGATTAAGTTCTAGCATATTTTCCAATAAATATTTCTATGACACCTATCAAAAATTATATCTAGATAAGTAAGCAAAGCCAATAAGCATATCATTCAATAGATCTTAGTTAAACTAAATATTTTTTGGTTCAGGTTAGACGTGTAAGTTTGATAGCTTTAAAAGATTAGACAAGCATAATTAAGCTTGTATTTGAAAGGGTAAATAATATTTTTACTCTTTCAAAAAGCTAAAGAATGAAATTACTATTTATTTGGATAAGAATCTTAGAAGCTTTATTGAAAAATATTTTTGTTAAAGATGGTTAATAGTTATATTTTCTGGAAAACAAGGCAGATTGAATTAATCAACCATAATAAAAAAATAGTTTTTTTCCTCTCAATGAATGCTATCAATAATTATATTAATAAACAGTTCAGATTATATTCCAATTAATTAACTTTATATGAAGTAATTTATAGAGCATCCTAAAATTCATGTCTAAAAAATTGGTATTCTTTAACATTATCATGTTTAAAAGCCTATAGTCAAACACTTTTAAAAGATTAAATTTAACATTCAGACAATAGATCCTAATAAGCGAAAATTGAAAATTCTTTGTAAAGATTCTCCTGTTAAGCTATTTAATTTAATAATCTTTGTACAACAGATATATATCTGGTGGGTCATTGCACATCTTAATATAAGCATTATTCGTCCTCAGGTCATCCATCATCTTCTCAAGCTTAGCTCTTAAATTCTTAGTGTTAATCACAGATATCTGGAAATGATCCTTCTTGGGAATACAATACTATAAAGTAAATGGCCGATCATCAGAGTATTCATTAAAGTCCTTCTCTTCCTCTACTTTCTCTTTCAGACCTCTTTACATTATTGAATAATCAAATCGTCTTAACTAACTTCCATCCTTGTTCCTCCTAGTCTTCTCATATGAGTGCACATCATAATAGTCATTTTGGCTAAGCCTCTGTTGTTGATTTATGTCCCCCACAATTATTGCTGGGGTATATTGGACCTTGTCCAAATTCTATCTCCATTCCTTCTTCGATCCAGTTGTTAAGGTTTTTTGAGCATAATTAATGAAAATTTTTGTTAAATTAGGGTGTTGTAAGTTTCGACTTGGGGCATTCTTATTGCTTGTATCCTTTTTTATCACCAATGACATCAACAGTTAGCCATCTCTCTTTTTTCTAAACCTAGTACTCAAATTCTCTTACTCCTTTAGGGATTGCAAACCCCATCAAATTACTTCTTCAAGAAACACAATTTGATATCCTTGGAAAACTTTGTATTTCCTATTGAATAGTCCATCAAGGTCCTAATATGAACTCAGTCACTGTGAAATCCTCCTATTACTACTGATGAAGTAATGTTGATTATTTTTGCTCCCCAAAAGTAAAAGTCATTCTCTATTTCAGCTAGTTGTATCTTTTCGAAGCCTTTGACAATTTCTACAAAGATTGTAATTTTTAAAGAATTTATAATAATACCCTACATAATGTATAAATCTTTTATTCTATGTCTTATCGAGTTGAGCAAAAATGGGATGTATATGAAATTGCATTGAGTTTAAAAGACTGTATTCAATAGAAACATTTTTAATAGAAATAAACTTATTGCATCTTTCCTATGACTAGCACTTTTTTCAAAATAAAAGAATCTAAATTATTATTAAGATTTTCAAGATAATGCATCCAAAATCATAACAAAGATCAAATTATAAATTCATAATCTGCATTACAGAGCAGGGGAGGACTTTATTTATTTTATAAATATTATTCTCAGTGATGATGATCAAAATTAAAGTATAATTAAAAAATAATAATAATAAAATTTATGTTGAGTTTATATGTAACTATGGACAGTCATTTGGTACATCAAGATCCATACTTTATGAACATGTATGTATGAAAATTTACACTCTCTTGAAGATTGTTACACATAAGGGACATGTGATCATCTTGTTTACCATTCCATTATTTTTAAGAATGTAAAATGAGTGGTTAATAAATATCTTACTTCTCCTTTGGGTTCTATAGTCTCTTAAAATATCTTATTCCCCTTCCTTCACTGACTTGAATCCTGATCACTGTAATATTAAAGGAGTATTTTCCTTCATATATGCCTGTCAAATTTATCATAAAGGTATCATCGATTGAAGCTAGACCTTTACATCCTTCTTTGATTAGCTTGAAATTATTAAAAGATAGCTCTTCCTACTGCATATTCTTAATGATGTTACTCGATAAAATATTATATTTTTTTCCTTATTTGTAAGCAACTCTTAATATTATCTCAATATTTTCAAACATTCCCAATTCAATTTTATGATTAATTGAATTGAAGAAAATTCTCACAGCTATATCTCTCAACATCATCCTTTAATCCTTTCTGAAACACAAATTCAGGTATCAAATCACTTATGAATTCTTCTGTGCTAGAAGTATCTACGCAGGAAATAAGACTTTTTGAATTGCCTCAATTTCCTTTTCTATTTCGCTTTTCTTTTGGTGACTATTCAAATTTGGGGGTCAATTTTCATCCATGGAAACATCTACATACTTATTGCCGATTCCTAATCAGATATCTTTTATTCAGAAATAGGAATCTTGATCTTCTCTTCTTATTATTATTTTAACTGAGTGAATATCTTACTATTTACTTGGCTATGTTACGAAGGTTCTTTGAATTTCTCTTTCAGATTACTATGAGTTTCTTCCTTCCTCTTAAATTGCTTATTTACAGCCACCAGTCTTAAGCCATCAATAATATTAGAATATGCTTCTAGGTTATCTTATTAAGATTTTTGTATCTCTGAATAAATCAATTTAATAATCATTTAAAGGTTTTTCTCATCCCAGATACTTGTTACCCAATTTTTGGAGACCATTCCGATTCTCCCTGTTTAAGTTGTAACCTTCAATGATAAGATTTTAAAAATAGGTCCTTCATACTACTATTGTCAAAAAAATGTCCTACTCATGCGCTCTACTGTCAGGGAGTCTTCATAGTATTCTTATTAGGGTCATGTTGAATATTAACGCCCCTAATAAAGGCTGTTTCCCTTGAAATAGAGTGGTATCTTTTTCGAGACATTTTACATCTTTGAAATAATATACTTTCACTTTAGAAAATATCAATATTCTCGAATCTATACCACACAAAGTGTGCTACTTTTGTTAAAACGCCTTTTCAAAACTACCTCGTTCNTGGTACATCAAGATCCATACTTTATGAACATGTATGTATGAAAATTTACACTCTCTTGAAGATTGTTACACATAAGGGACATGTGATCATCTTGTTTACCATTCCATTATTTTTAAGAATGTAAAATGAGTGGTTAATAAATATCTTACTTCTCCTTTGGGTTCTATAGTCTCTTAAAATATCTTATTCCCCTTCCTTCACTGACTTGAATCCTGATCACTGTAATATTAAAGGAGTATTTTCCTTCATATATGCCTGTCAAATTTATCATAAAGGTATCATCGATTGAAGCTAGACCTTTACATCCTTCTTTGATTAGCTTGAAATTATTAAAAGATAGCTCTTCCTACTGCATATTCTTAATGATGTTACTCGATAAAATATTATATTTTTTTCCTTATTTGTAAGCAACTCTTAATATTATCTCAATATTTTCAAACATTCCCAATTCAATTTTATGATTAATTGAATTGAAGAAAATTCTCACAGCTATATCTCTCAACATCATCCTTTAATCCTTTCTGAAACACAAATTCAGGTATCAAATCACTTATGAATTCTTCTGTGCTAGAAGTATCTACGCAGGAAATAAGACTTTTTGAATTGCCTCAATTTCCTTTTCTATTTCGCTTTTCTTTTGGTGACTATTCAAATTTGGGGGTCAATTTTCATCCATGGAAACATCTACATACTTATTGCCGATTCCTAATCAGATATCTTTTATTCAGAAATAGGAATCTTGATCTTCTCTTCTTATTATTATTTTAACTGAGTGAATATCTTACTATTTACTTGGCTATGTTACGAAGGTTCTTTGAATTTCTCTTTCAGATTACTATGAGTTTCTTCCTTCCTCTTAAATTGCTTATTTACAGCCACCAGTCTTAAGCCATCAATAATATTAGAATATGCTTCTAGGTTATCTTATTAAGATTTTTGTATCTCTGAATAAATCAATTTAATAATCGTTTAAAGTTTTTTCTCTTCCCAGATACTTGTTACCCTATTTTTGGAGATCATAGTCCGATTCTCCCTGTTTAGGTTGTAACCTTCAATGAATAAGATTTTTAAAATAGGTCCTTCATACTACTATTGTCAAAAAATGTCCTAATCATGCGCTCTACTGTCAGGGAGTCTTCATAGTATTTTTATTAGGGTCATGTTGAATATTAATGCCCCTAATAAAGGCTGTTTCCCTTGAAATAGAGTGGTATCTTTTTCGAGACATTTTACATCTTTGAAATAATATACTTTCACTTTAGAAAATATCAATATTCTCGAATCTATACCACACAAAGTGTGCTACTTTTGTTAAAACGCCTTTTCAAAACTACCTCGTTTAAAGTTGTTATTCCAATTCCTGGTAGACTTTCTTAGAATGACTCTAAATGATAAGAGAAAATAAGGATCATAAAAATGTTCAAATTAATATCTGATTATAGAATTCCCTATAAATTGATTAGAATCAAAAAGCCCTTAGTAAGCTATTTTACTTCAAATATTCTTAAATTGATAGAAACTATTCAATTAATAGTAAGGAGAATTCAAATTCATCATTACAAGAGGATCTTGATTTCCATTCATTTGTGAACATCGTATAGTTAATTCAACCTTCAAACATACTTAGGAATTTTATTTAAAGTGGACCTAAAAATTCTTAACCGATTGAATTTGATTTTCCTGTTTCATTGGATTAAGCGAAAATATTGCCATAATTTTCTGCTTTAAAATTTTAACAATATAAGGTCAAATTGCTGATATTTAAAATTTAGTTTTTTGTAATAGATGGTCCAATATTTTAGGTTGAATTGGTTTAAAAATATAAAATGGTTTTGTTGGAGACCAAGTATCTACCATTAAAATGTAAATTCTAAGTAATTGATAAATAACAA